AATCAAATTATATTTTAGCAAGATTCATACAGGTTATGTAGCCTCCTTGTTTGAGTGGAAGATGTTCTTTAATTTTGTGTTTGACTTAAATATCCTTTTCCATTTTAATTACATTTGTATTAGAAAGTTAATGTACTGTGTTATATGAAGAATTTTGTAAGTGGAAGTACATCAGTGGTCAGCTTACCCTTTCTTTCATGGTTGGAAGTTGTAATGTCTCATCTATCACTTACATAATACTATGTTGCCCAGAGTAATCATCACTTTCATTATACTATAATAGATGAATGAAACTTACTAGAAGGTTGCATTATGTATTTAGTAGGATATTCTCTTAAGCTTCTGTATGTTTTGAAAATAGCTACTACTGGTCCTGTCTTCCATTTGACTTTTAAGTTTGTTCACCTCCAGTTTTTTCCTTGTCACTACTGCTTTCTGGTAAGTGCTGCTTCCTTTTTTCATTTTCTTCTTATTCTTTCCATCTTGGTCTTTTCCCTACATTTGGGTCTTTCCTGTGGCTTCTAAATCTGGAAAATGTAGCTTTTATTTCTCTTTGGTCAGTTTGGCGAATTAACATACTTAATCACCTCTTTAGTACTAAAACTAACTAAATTGAATAAACTCTATCTCTTCCATATCTTATGTTAGAGTTGAATGAAATGGCATCTGATGTGTGAATCTCTATAAAATATCCCAAGTGATCACCTTATTTTTCCTTAAAATATCTGTAAGAGTAGATGGAACTATTTGACTAGGTGGCTTATTCCAAGTTTGGACCACTCATACAAATCTCTTCTTATTGAGCAGAAATCTGCCTCTTGGTAAACTTAACTAGTCTTGTCTAGAGCCATCCTTTAAATCATCATGACAAGTTTCTAGTTTCTCTACCATTCTTGCTTGCTTTCCTGGATCTTCTCCAATTTGTGAATGCCTGTCTTGATACATTTTTTTTGAAGAAGCAATATACCGTAGATTTGGTCTAATTAGTACATTATAGAACTGAATCATTTTCCTTAATTTTGATTCTTAATTGTATTAGTAATGTCTTAGAATCACATTATTCTTTTTAGTAGGCATAGTACCCTATTGGGGCAGAAAAAAATGCTGCGTAATTATAGTAGTACAGGTTAAATTGCCTAGTTGGAGTTGTACCTTCACACATTAGTTGTGGTTTTGAGCACATTGCATAATGTAGCTGGGCCCCATTTCTTCTGTAGGGTAGTTTAGTTTATCTCATGGGTGGGATTATGAAAGGATCAAATTAAATAATTTAAAAATTGGAAGTGTCATCTTTATTATTGAAATAGCTTTTGTCTGTTGCTGCATGACCATTCAAAACATAGTAACTTAAAACAATGATTTATTCTTTTTTATGATCCTGTGGTTTGCCTCAGCTGTAGCTCTACACATGGTGTTGGCTGGAGTCACTCATTGCTGCATTTGGCTGGGGCTGAAATATCCTAATGGTGTTACCTGACATGTCACATTCCTGGGGCTAGCTTGGCCTTTCTCTCCGCAGGGTAGTTTGACTTTTTATATGCTGGCCTAGAGTTCCAAAAGCAAAAGGGGAGGCTGCCTGTCCTCTTAAGGTTTAGGCTCAGAAATGGAACTCGGTCCCTTCCACTGCATCTCTTGGTCAAAGCAAGTCATCAAAGTTAGCACCAACTCAGGAGAAAGGAAGTAAATTCCGTATCTTGACAGGATGAGGAATGGCATATGTGGACAGGGATGGCAAGGGAATTAGTGGAGCCTATCTTTGGAGACTGTTTTTTTTCTTAGCCTATTGAACCAAGTGTTAGCCCTTTATTTAATCTTTAATATCTAGTTTGTCTTCTTGTGTTTAAGTTTTAATGATTCTTAGTGGTATGTCATCAGAAGATGTGATAGACAAAAAGTATGCCATTTATCCTGTTCTCAGCTTTTTACTTGAATGGCTTTATTTTGAGGTTTAACTAACATACTAAGAACTTCACATATTTGTAGTGTTACAGTTTAATGAGCTTGCTTTCTCATCTTGTAGTCAGTATTCACTAGAAACATTCGTTTGCCACTGTTGATACTTAATTCTTGGTCCTTTTGGTCTATTGTTGGGGCAGTAAGCTGCTTGGTTACTGTTGTCTTGCCTTCCTATTACTTGTAGTTTCTGGTTAATATTTTTTAAAGTTGTTTTTGTTCTTGTTTTCGGTGTTATGGCTTGCGCAGTGTTCACTTTGGGGGGTGAGGTGCTTAACTACTGTTTAAAAAATTTTCCTTGTGAGTTACTGTAGTGTAAAACAGTGTTACTGGGGATACAGAATTAGTTCTCATAAAAGATGGGTTACTAAAAAAAAAAAAAGATGGGTTACAAAGGATGGGTTGTAACATTTCTTGTCACCTTGCCTTAGTAACTTCTACAAGTTGATGTACTGTAAAGTTTTACATCTTAAGTGATTCACTCTTGACTGCAGGTGTTTGTGGTCTTCCTCTTGACATAAAATGGATTAGTCATTGAAAAGTGAAGGACGTGAGTAGGCAATGTTACTCAGTCTTATTTTTCTTCCTTGCTAGACCACTTATGGACAAAGTTAGAGACGATCTTATCCACCATTATATTCTCAGTGTCTAGCATAGGCATTTAAGTATTTAGAGAATTAAGTGAATGTGAAAAATACATTGAAGTAGTAAAATATGAAATAGAAATGCATAGGTGAAAAATAACTTTCATGGTTGGGCTTAGTTATTGTTAGTTGTTTTATTTGAAGATATTTTAGTATATAATCTTACATATGTGAATGAGCCAGAGACTTGTATATGGAGCCTTCTTTAAATTTATGTATTATTCTCTTGCTGTTTGAAGTTATTTGTGAATTCTGGTTAATCACATTATACTTTTTCTTTAGTTAGACTTTGTAGTCTAACCTTTACCTTAGCTAGTCAGAAATAGAATTTACCCTTTGACTTATGGAATGCCACCATTTAAACCTAGACGGACTCCAAAGCCATTAGGCTATACCATTTTTCCATAGTTGAATGAATAATGTATTTGTATTAGGATATAACTTGAAAAGGCCTACTCACTTGTTTCTTAAGTGAAAAATTGATACTCAGTTAAGTGAAAAATCCACTTATTATATTAAATGGAACTATGTTCTCTTTTTTATTATTACTATTTTTTAAGACTTTTAATTATTTATTTGACAGAGAGACAGCAAGATGGAACAAGAGCAGGGGGAGTGGGAGAGGGAGAATCAGACTTCCTGCTGAGCAGGGATCCTGATGTGGGGCTCGATCCTAGGACCCTAGGATCATTACTTGAGCTAAAAGCAGGTGCTTAACGACTGAGCCACCCAGGTGCGCCACTGTGTTTTGTTTTTGAGGCAGATCCCAAAAGAGCCGCCATAGTCAGCGTTCAAAGTGCTTATGTCCTAAAGAGCATGGTGTTCAAAGGACAAAACACTTGCAGCTGATAGGTCTTTGAATAAGAAGGTATGGGTGTGGTGTAATATGAAGTTTTTGTTATCCTAACCAAAGTGTTCTTCTGATTTTAGGCTACTGTTTTCAGATATTGGTTAGTAACCACAGGAAACATAGTACTTTGACTTCTTACCTTCAACCCCTTCCAGTAATGCAGTGCAGCTTGGCCTTACTGCCATGTTGGCCCCTACCCATTTCATGTGGTATCTGTAGCTTCAAACTGTTCTGCATAAAAGTAGACTAAAACTGTTGCGTAACTGCCAGAAAGATAGAAACCGAGAATTCGAAAACTCTTCTTGTAAAAATGGACTAGTTTGGGACTAAGCCTAGTTGAAAACTGATTTTCACCTTGATTCCTGGGGTGTATTTAGCTAGGAGGAAAATTTGGGGTGGTGAGAATGGTTTTGTTTGAGTATTTTTATTAACATTTGCCTAATTGTACTACTGGAATTCTTTTTCCCTCTTAAAAAAAAAAAAAAAACACTAGTTTATTGTACTTTCTCCCCTTAATACAATGATCTGATTTTTTTGCTTTAAATCAGTTGTAGAATGTAATTATTATTAACTAGCATGTTAGGATTTAAATTAGTTTAGATTGTTAATAGTTTCAAACAATTATACAGGATGAAATTTTTAGCTGGTGTGATCTGTAAATACTCATTTTATTAGCTAAAAATCACTTTAAGGAAATTAAAGGTTCACTCTTCAGATCTGTAATTCTCATAAATCTATCTACCACTGTCTCCCCCTCTCCCCCCCCCTCAGATTTACTTATTTGAGAGATAGGGAGAGAGCGAGCAGGGATAGGGTGAGGGAGAAAATCTCCAGCAGGCCCCCTGCTAAGTGGGGAGCCTGGTGTAAGGCTGAATCTCAAAATCCTGCGATCAGGACCTAAGCCAAAACCAGGAGTGCAGTGCTTAACCAGCTGAGTCACCCAGGTGCCCCATACCACCGTCTTACTTTAATTAGGAACAGTGGAACTTCAAACAACTTTTTACCTCTTGAGGTTTTGCTTGAATTGTGTTCTTCTAAATAAAGTTAATTTTATTCTGCTTTCTCGGTTTGGGGCTCTGGTAGTATCTCTTACATTATTGGTTTTTGCTTGAGGCATAATCCTGGAGAGTCCCAGAAGTTTCATCTCTTGTGTGCTTTCCATTCTAATGACTACCTTGAAAATGGAAAGTTTGTCATCTTGTTAGAAAAAGCTTGTTAGGAGCTGTCATTGTTTCACATTCACTGAAGCATATGGTCGTTATCAGGATGTAGATAGATAGCACTGTGCAGGGTGGTCACATACTCAAAATGTGTCCTTAAGTAGTGAACTCAACCTTAACTTCACTTTTTAAGTATTGCTGTCCAAAGCATTCTGCTTTTAAACCACAAATTCATGAGCCTACTGCAGTCAACTATTGTAGTACTGGCAATAATTGGGTATTAAAATTTTATAACTTAGGTTATATTATAATATGCTGTTAAGAAATGAGGATTTTTTTTTTCAGTCTTGTAAGTATTTTCTTCTTACTGTGACTGTTTCTTTTCTTCCAAAGTCTCTGTTGGAAAAGTTTTTGATCCCCAATGCTTCACAAGCAGAGAGCAAAGTCTTCTATTTGAAAATGAAAGGAGACTACTACCGTTACTTGGCGGAGGTTGCTGCTGGTGATGACAAGAAAGGTAACCTGGTTTTCAACATGTTTGTTGAACTTCTATAAAATAACATATTATGGAAGTAGTCTCTCTGAAATGTAAACAGTTGTAGGGTTTTTTTTTGTTGTTTAATTGCTTAGAACACTAGTTCTAAGAAGAGCAGTAATTAACTTTTCTCTTTACTATAAAGGTAGGGGCAGAAGAAAATCCTAAGCAGGCTCCTTGCTGGGCTTGATCTTACAACTCTGAGATCATGACCTGAGCCAAAGTCACCCACATGCTCCAGTAATTAAGTCCTGCAAATGTATATCTGCTGCCTAATACTGGTATTCTAAAATGCTTGCTTGCTGAAAAACCAATTTTGGGCATAGGAATGTTTCCTTACAATTTTAAGAGATCATGATCACAGCATAACTGTAGAGCAGTGTGAACTAGTTATTAAAAATATAATAATTCTGAGATGATCGCAAGAGTTGTTTTTGTATTGACATTGACTAATGGTTAGTGTGGTGTTCCTTTGAGAAGGTTTTTTATCTTTAAGATCTTCATTCAGTCAAGGTTGCTACAGCTTAATATTTCACAGCATACATTGGATATTAAAGGTCTGGCTTGAGTGCAGATTGTCAATACGTTTTGGCATATTTTATTTTCCAGGGATTGTAGATCAGTCACAACAAGCATACCAAGAAGCTTTTGAAATCAGCAAAAAGGAAATGCAGCCGACACATCCTATCAGATTGGGTCTGGCCCTTAACTTCTCTGTGTTCTATTACGAAATTCTGAACTCCCCGGAGAAAGCTTGCTCTCTTGCAAAGACAGTACGTATTTTACCTGTTTTCTGGAAATTTAGTAATCCTTATTAGTTGAGCACTGACATGTCCTTTTTTTGTATCATAGGCTTTTGATGAAGCCATTGCTGAACTTGATACATTAAGTGAAGAGTCATACAAAGACAGCACGCTAATAATGCAATTACTGAGAGACAACTTGACAGTAAGTACATAACAGCATCATGAATGGCCAGTGTGGTTGAAATTACGTTCTTTTATAGATTATTACTAAGAATATTTCTGGACTCTGTGTTGAATATGAAATCGTATTTGCTATTAAAACTATGAAGAAAAACTGCCTTATAGAAATTGAAATACTAGATCAAGGACCAAAAATCTGTACTTTAATTAGTTGCATATCTATTGTTAGAGTTTTTGTTCTTAAAATAATTTTGTAAGCTGTGGTTTTGGACTTCCAATCACATAGGCTGTTTCATTTCCCATTTCAATTTGGTTTTTCCGTTTGTTCCATTTTAGTCACAGAATAGTTTTTACTATCAAAACTATGCAAGTTCTCTTCATGTTTAATTTCCATTAAAAATGGTTTTCTTGGGGCACGTGGGTGGCTCAGTCAGTTAAGCATCTGCCTTTGGCTCACTCAGGTGGTGATCCTGGGGTCAAGTCCATGTCACGTTCCTTCTCAGCAGATAGCCTACTTCTCCTCCCATTCCTCCCAGCTCATGCTGTCTCTTGCTCATTTTCTGTCTCAGATAAATAAAAGCTTTTTTAAAAAGTAATTTTCTTGATCATAAAGTTGCTTCCATATTTAGACAGCTGTAGTACTCCCATCAGTAACTTCAGTTACAAGATTTCAGATACTCTATGGAATTCAAATGGAAACGTTTTGCCTAGTTAGCCTCTTAGTAAAAAAAAAAAGGCTTATTATGGAATCTCATGCTTATCCTTAACATTCTCCAGACCAAGAAAAAGAACCACAATGCCATTAACACACGGAAAAAATTGGCAGTAATTCTTAGTAATGTTTAATATCTAAATAGTACTCAGACCCCAGTTTTTTTTTAGTTGTCTATTTTTTTTTTAAGTTTTTTTTTTATTTGGGGCGCCTGGGTGGCTCAGTGGGTTAAAGCTCTGCCTTCGGCTCAGGTCATGATCCCAGAGTCCTGGGATTGAGCCCCGCATCAGGCTCTCTGCTCAGCGGGGAGCCTGCATCTCTCGTGTTGGGGCTATTCAGAGCAGTTTGATATTCCCATAGCTTATTAATACTTAGTATTTTGTAGCAGTTCGGTATTTTTTATTTTGTTTTCTTTTCTATGGTAACCAAGTTTCTTGTATCCGACTTGGTTGAAAACAACTTGTTTTGTACTTAACAGTGTTTACCATACAAAGGTTAGGGAGAAAATGAGGGTGTTCTGTATCTTGAAGCTGTCCTCATTGCTGTAATCTTTTAAAGAAAGCTTTCAGCAAAAGCTGTGTTTACAGTCTGGTACCATGACAAATTTATTAAGATTTTTTTCAAACTGAAACATGCTGAAAAATCTTTCCTTCTTTTATCAGTTGTGGACATCGGACACCCAAGGAGACGAAGCTGAAGCAGGAGAAGGAGGGGAAAATTAACCGGCCTTCCAACTTTTGTCTGCCTCATTCTAAAATTTACACAGTAGACCATTTGTCATCCATGCTGTCCCACAAATAGTTTTTTGTTTACGATTTATGACAGGTTTATGTTACTTCTGTTTGAATTTCTATATTTCCCATGTGGTTTTTATGTTGAATATTAGGGGAGTAGAGCCAGTTAACATTTAGGGAATTCTCTGTTTTCATCTTGAGGTGGCCAATATGGGGATGTGGAATTTTTATACTAGTTATAAATGTTTGGCATAGTACTTTTGGTACATTGTGGCTTCACAAGGGCCAGTGTTAAAACTGCTTCCATGTCTAAGCAAAGAAAACTGCCTACATATTGGTTTGTCCTGGTGGGGAATAAAAGGGATACTTGGTTCCAGATACAGGTGTAGTTTTTGTGGGTACTTTTAAGGTTTGGAGCACTTACGAGGCTGTAGTAGAAATGGGTATTCTGTAGATACCGTGTGTGGAACCATGAGGATCTGTGGAATACTCAACTCAGTGTGCACACCTTTGATCACAGTTGCAGAAGTGTTCTTCAGTTGTGACCCAGTTTACTCTGGATAAGGGCAGAAACGGTTCACATTCCATTATTTGTAAAGTTACCTGCTGTTTGCTTTCATTATTTTTGCTACACTCCTTTTATTTGTATTTAAATGTTTTAGGCAACCTAAGAACAAATGTACAAGTAAAGATGCAGTAAAAATGAATTGCTTGATATCCATTACTTTATGTGTATCAAGCACAGCAGCAAAATAAAAATCCCATGTATTTAACTTTTCTTTTTCTTTCTTTCTTTTTTTTTTTCTTTTTTTTTTTAGGGTTTTTGGTTTGGTTTGGGGTTTTTTGGTTTGGGTGGTTTTTGTTTTTTTGTTTGTTTTTTTTTGTTTTGGGGTATTTTTTGGTTTTGCTTTCGTGATTTTTTTTGTTTTTTTGATACTTGCCTAATACCATGCATGTGCTGTAAAAAATAGTTAACAGGGAAATAACTTCAGATGATGGCTAGCTTTGTTTAATGTCTTATGAAATTTTCATGAACAATCCAAGCATAATTGTTAAGAACACGTGTATTAAGTTCATGTAAGTGGAATAAAAGTTTTATGAATGGACTTTTCAACTACTTTCTCTACAGCTTTTCATGTAAATTAGTCTTTTGGTTCTGAAACTTCTCTAAAGGAAATTGTACATTTTTGGAAATTTATTCCTTATTCCCTCTTGGCAGCTAATGGGCTTTTACCAAGTTTAAATACAAAGTTTATCGTAACAAATACTACTAATAGAACTACTACTGTTCCCAACCATGTCCCATATTCTTCCTCTCCTCTAAAAAAAAAAATATAGTTTTGTTTTGTTTTTGTCTTTTTTGTTTGTTTTTTTCAGAGACCAGATTGATTGGGAAAAAGTAATATGTTCCATTTAAAGTTTTGGTATATGGCATTTTCTAACTTAGGAAGCCACAGTGTTCTTGACCCATCATGATATTGGGTAGCATTAACTAAGTTTTGTGCTTCCAAATCACTTTTGTTTTTAAAGAATTTCTTGATATTGTTAAAGCCTGCCTTCAATTTTGATCCTTTATTCTATTTGTCAGGTGCACAGGATTACCTTTTTTAGCCTTCTGTCTTGTCACCAACCATTCCTACTTGGTGGCCGTGTGTACTTGGAAAAAAGGCCGCATGATCTTTCTGGCTCCACTCAATGTCTAAGGATACCTTGCTTCCTTTGCTTGCATCCCACAAACTATTTCCCTCATCCTATTTACTGCAGCAGATCTCTCCTTAGTTGATGAGATTGTGTTTATCTCCTTGTAAACCCTACCTACCTGAATGGTCTGTCATTGTCTGCCTTTAAAATCCTTCCTCTTCCTCTCTTTAAATAATGATGGGGCTAAGTTACACCCAAAGCTCACCCCCAAACTATTTCCTCAGTACCTTGCAGAAAACACCAAACAAAAATACCATTTTAAAAGAGGTGTATTTTTTTTTTCTTTTAGAATGTAAGCTCCTCAAGAGCAGGGACAATGTTTTCTGTATGTTCTATTGTGCCTAGTACACTGTAAATGCTCAATAAATATTGATGATGGGAGGCAGTGAGTCTTGATGATAAGGGTGAGAAACGGAAATCCCAAATAACTCTTTTGTTGCTTGTTTTATTATGACCTCAGATTAAATTGGGAAATATCAGGCCTTTGGCACAGTTGTCCCCCAGATAACTACATTCAAATAAAAGTGCAATGGAGGCTTTGGGGTCTTTCTTTCAAGGAGAAAAAAAATCTCTTAAATGCATTAGGGCAAAATAATCCTCTTCTTGGCTCTTTTTTTACTCATTTCTCCTGACCCCAGGCCAAGGACATGAAGTAATCATTTATAGCTAAGGCGCATTAAGCTAAACTTGAGATGGATCTCATTCAAGTATAAATTATAAATAAAATCTAAAGCTTGTCATATTTGCCTATTTATGTGCATTAGTCTAATAGTTTGATTCTGAAATAAATTGTGATAATACTTCATTAATATTAGCTGTTAATGTTTCTACATACTAGTGCCCAATAGACTGAAGGAAGATTCTTGCCTTGGGATTTGAATAATAAATTTTTATAACATTTCTTTAATTGTCCCAAATCCAGGCTTCATGTCTGTTTTTGTCAATATAACGATATTTCCAGGAATTTGGATTCTGTGTGTGGAGTATTGGGATTGTTTTTTTTTAAAAAAAAAAAAAAAAAAAAAAAGATGTCCGCTTCACAGTTGTCCTTTGAGAGAGGAGCCACCGTTGAGGTCAGTTAAAAGTATGGACTTGGCTGCAGCTCTGACTTACAGTCCTAGCTTTTCCATTTAATTGTTTCGCTACTACTTCACGCCATAAAGATCATAGATATGGGTGGGGGTGATGGGGGAGTATAAGAGAATTAAAAAGAATGTCAAGTAGCTTAATTCTTTTTCTTTCCTGTCTTCCCTACAAAATAGTAATCCTGCCATGGCCCAAAACATATTTGGAGCTAGTAATGGCCTATTTGGAATCTGTAGTCTTGGATTATTTGTGGTTAAACCTCAGTTTGAGAGTGAAACCTTGATTGGGTAATTGAGGATCTCTGACCAACAGTGAAAAGCCATGGGGTGCAAATCCAAGAATTTTGGAGACTTCCCAGCAGTGGCAGTATCATTGAAACAGTTTCAGGTCTACATTAGGGGAGAATGGCACTTCATTTGGATGCAAGTATATCATCACTGCATGAGAGCCTACAGTGTGTTAGGAACTCTAACTGGTGCTGTGTGCTCAGAATCTTACCCATTCCTGCAGAGAAAGATCAAGGAACCACAAATGGCTTTATTTTCTTGTCTGTGGGAAAATACGCGGTGGAATTGAAACATCTATAGTTTTAAGGTGGTCACTGAAACGGCACTTGGAAGATGGCTAGACTTGGGTCTTTTTCTGAATGTGAAATTAATGTCAATAAACTGCTCTTCCATTCTCTGTAGTGTGGCTTAACAGCAGTCACAGTATTACTGGTTAATTGTAGCTCTCCTTTTAGACTAAAGGCCTAAAAACAAAGATACTGCTGGGTCTGCGTAGGTACTTTTAAGAAACTTAACAGGCCTCTAGGAAAACGGTACTCTTGACAAAATGGTATTCAAGATCTCACCACAATAGATCGACTTCAAAAACTTGAAAAAAAATGTTGCTGAGTACATCAAACTCTAATCATGCTGCTCAACCTGGATTCTTTTAAGTCTTCTTTATATATGATTGTCCACCCCCAAGTGTTTCAGAACTTGAAAGTCACTGAAATAGCAAGACTTGATATGCTAACTTTCTGGAAGACATCTGCACCTGCCCTATGTCATTACCATAATTACTCAGTTTATAAGGATGTCTGTCATCCTGGACAAGCAAGCGTATGTGTCTTTTGGATATAGAAACCAAATTGAAAGTGGATATATTTAGGCACAGCTATTACCAACCCTAGGTAATGCCAGAGATTCAGTTAATAATACCTTTTTTCCGTATTTGAGCTCATTCTATGAAATTTCTGAAAGCCCAAGCTTATCCTGTCAAATGTTCTTAAAAGACTTAAGTATGAATTTCCAGACCTTAGAGCCCATCAGTATTTTAAGTAGGTGCTTGACATTTTTTGTTAATGAATGTTGGTTTGGGCCAGCCGCTTTTCTGAATGTTTAAGAAGGGCTTCTCGGATTTATGTTTTGAGTCAAGACTGAATGGGATCCAGACAGGTTCCAGCATGTGCAAAGGCATCAAGTTATGAGAACTTGACAAATTGCACTCACAAGTGAGGGACTCTGTAGAAAGAAGAAATAGGCTCCCATGTGCTGTAAGATTGAGTGTCCTTGCTGCCAAAATCGGGGGGGGGGGCACAATATTTGGCAAAACAAAGTAGTGTAACATTACATTTTGAGTCAAAAAAGGCTATTTCTAAAACTATTGGTCTGCAAGACAAGTTCATGGTTCTGCTCAGCAGATGATTCCCAAAGCAAGGAAATTAAGGATAAAGTTTCCCTGTCCTAACAGGTTCTTCATGTTAATGACTGATTTAGTTTGGAAGCAGGTACCATATAACTTCAACTGTGTCAAGAGGAGAAAGTAACAAGTTTTTGTGTGCTTTAAGAAAATGCTATTTGCACTTCTAAATCGTGCCATGCACAAAAATCAAATCCAGAAGAATGAGAGAAAACTTCAGAATGTTCAGAAGATGTAGGTGATAGGATCTCCTATGTGATGTGAGATGTGAGAAACCATCTCTTAAAATGGACATAGCCTAACTAGGAAAATTATATGTAAACTCAGACTCCATATATGAACCTCAATATAAATTCAACTACATAAAAATTTAGATAACTGGGAGTGGAAAAGTACATAACTTAAAAAATTGGTATACATATGTAAACAAAAAAATTGGAAAGTGGGCAAAGGTTTTGAACAGGCATTTTTGGGGAGGAGGAAATATATGGCTAGTAGATATGTGAAGAGAGGTTTAACCGGGAAATGCAAACCAGGACCACAGTTAGATATCACCATTTTACCCCCACATAATCCTGTTTGAAAGTCTGGTCTTACCCAAATGTTGGGAGATGTGGTTTGAGATCGCCAGTACTGATGGGAGTTTAATTACTACATCCCTTTGGAAAATAATTTGGCATTATCTCATAAAGTTGACATTCACATCCCTATAGTTGAGCAATTCTCTCCTGGATGTATCTCCTAGAACACTTGCCGCTGTACACCAGGAAATTTACAGCTGTTCTATTTAAGCAAAAAAGGAAACAATCCAAATGTCCACTGAAAGAACAGTTATTTTACCCAATGACATAATCTTCATTAGTGAAAATGAATCAATATTTAGTGAAAATACAGTATGATATCCTTATTAGGTTAAAAAATGAACAAGAAGCTTAGGCATACATATACATGATAAAATTTTCTCTTTCCCATGGATATTTCTGAGAAAATTTAGAACAGAGGTTACCTATGGAGAAGCAGGGAGACAAGCTAGGGCAGGATGACATCAGTAAATGTAGTTTTTAGGTAATGTGACCATTGTGGGAATGGGATGGTGAGTTCACAAATACTTGTTAGAAAGCAACCCTTTCAAGCACAGGGATAATACAAGGATTGTGTTTAATCCAGCTCTGGGCACTAGAGGTCACAAAGAAAGGAAAAGAACTAAAGGGGAACAGTACAGTGGGCCAGTAAGTTCAGTAGTCAAAGGCTTGCTTGATGGCAGTAAGATCAGGAGAGAAAATAGGAAAAGTAGTCACCA